TTCCGTCAATTCCAAACTTACGGCAGTTTGAAAACCCCGAAGCTTCCTTTACCCGGCCAACTTTTCTCGTCTGAATCCCTTTTGCTCGCGACAAAAGTCGGATCCCTCGTCAAGTCAAAAGTAAGAAGCCGGGCGGGGCATTTCGGTCATTTTATAAATAGGGGTGGTGTGTGGTGGTGAGGTGGGGCCTATCTTAAAAGCGTGGTTAGGTCTGCTGGAAAGATTTTTAAATGTGATGGAATACCACGTATCCTTATATAAATGATGAGTTATGTGGGTTATGTGTATTAAAAGGATAATATTTTAAAAATTAAAAATTTTCACCCTTGGATAAAAATACTTGATTTACTATCGATGTTTCCGTCGTAACTAAAAGTTTCTGGGTCCGGTGAGTTTTTCGTTAGGGATAGGTGATAGGTCTGCGTTTCGGTTTGTTGTGGCGTTTTTAGTGGGGGGTTGTTGGAGTAATTATCCGGTGTGGCGCGGGTGCAGGAATCGGTTCAGCTGTCTCCTTTAAAAAACCCTTTTTCTTGCACTTTCTGGAGATCGAGAAAAACCCGGCTGGTTTTCGGCCGTCGATCTGGGGATTGTACTTTTGGGTCTTCCAAATCTAAGGGTCTAGGATTGTTTGGTGAGGAAGCGTCTTTTAATTGAAAATATCGTATTATTTATTTAGTTTTTAAACTTTTTCGATTAAGGGGATTTTGGAAAATAGATTGGAGTTGTCAGCAAGTGGAGAGGCGGTATTTGAAAGGAGTAATGTGGGATTGGATTGGAGGAGGGCCATGGCGAAGGAAAGTCATGTGAGAAAGTCACGTGAGGAATATAATAAGGAGCCTGTCATGTTGTGGCCACGTGGATTTTGATGATGTCAAATTCCAGCTTACATTTCATTGGGCGTGGAGTAGCTTTATCCGGGGTAGCCGATAGCTGGGTAAATTGCAGGCTTGGTAGTGGATACAGATGTGGGATTCCGATTTGGGCAGCTCTCGCACTGGTGGGAATCATCGTGGAGTCGGATGACACTAAATTTTGGAAATTTAATGTTTTTTGTTAGACGAGTCATATGAATGATGTGGTCGGACAACTTTATCCGATAGTTTTTACTAGTTTGATATTGTTTTTTTTTTGTGTTTTGGTGGGCTTATGTGCTGAAATGTGGTTTTTGGATTGAAATTTCAGGGTAATGGTACATATGAATCCACCAGCACCACCAATGCCGCCAAGAGGGCAAGGAGAAAGAAGGTAAACACTAAACCCCAAATTTTGTTTTGTCCCCTTACACTATTCAAAGGAATATAATTGTAAGAATTTAATAATTAATGGGCCGTTTCGTAATCTGCAATTAATAGGAGGACTTAATTTGAAGTTTGTTTTGTTGACATGGACTTGGTTGTAATTTTGTCAGACATATGCTGAGCTTAAAGAGCAGGAAAGTTCGTTGTTGAAGGAAAGGACACATCTGGAAAAGGAAATAGCGACCTTACAAGCAACTTTCAAGGAGCAAAGAGCCAAAAATGTCAACTTTAAGAGAATCAAGGTGAGAGACAGATTCTAGTTAATTTACATAAATTATGGATTGGATCTTATAGTTTTACGGATTTTCGCCTAATTTTCTATCCGATTTGTGTCTTTGCAGATTGATTTGGACTTGCATTCTGCAAGGAATTTGAGTGCAAACTTTGACGGAGCAGGGAAAGCAATTTCCAGCCAACCCCATGAGAGAATAGCTTCTTCTAGTACCACTGCATACTACATTCCTTCGGATTTGCCTCCAAGTCCACACCCGCGATTGGATTCTTGCGTTGAAAGCAATGATGTTCCGGCCCGGGATAATTCCTTCTTGCTGCCTGATTTGAACATGGTGCCGGCGGTCGAAGAATCCGGTTCCGAAATGCTATATGGGATGAGCTGAGGAAAGAAAAGCGGTCCTCCTGTCTAACATAGCACACGCCAGAGGAGCTCACTTCAGTAGGTACTACTACAAGTAGAAAGTCGAGGGTATTTGGTAAGTTACGGATTTAACCTGGTCTGTTGCCAGTTGCTTGGAGTTGTATGGGGGGTTAAATTAGTAAAATTAGCAATATCTAAAGCCTAATGGCTGTAGAGATTGTGCTTTTATGTCACAGGTTCCTGCTTTTTAGGGTAAACCCTCAATAGTTTTCTCAATCTCGCGTTGAAATTATATTAGATCCATCCAAATTGTATCATTTTTTGTAGTTGAAACGTTGTCGTATTTTTCCTCATCCGAAATTCAATTTATAGTTTCAGTCCCACAACTCGTGTCAAATTGTCAATGACTCGTGTATCTTTTTATTTTGATTAGTTTTCAAAAACTCTCTCCCTCCTTCTCTTTTAATTTTGGTAAAATAGTTGGTGAATTGGGAAAGAGGTTATATACAGATCTCTTCCTTCTAATCCGCTAAATCAGAGAATTTATGCTTTCGAAATTTGATTCAATTGAAGTTATTATAAATTTTAAAGTTGAAATTTTGTTTGTAATCGTTGCATTAAATTTTGATTTGATACGAATTATTTGATTTGATAGATTAAAATGAAAGAATTTTTCGGTCAATTTGTGCCAATAAATGATAAAAGTGATGTCACGTTGGAGAAAAGGACGCATCTTGTTGGGCGTTGCTTTTAATGGGACTTTTGGATGTTCTAGAATATCGGGTATCTTGAACAATTTTATAGGAAAATTAATGAAAAAAGTTTGAAAACTTTGAGTTTTAATAATAAGGACAAAATAAAAGATAAAGTGAATAGTATCAGGTTTGATTTTTTAAAAAATGTAGTTTTTCATTAAAGTGAACAGTACTATGAGTTTTTCGTTAAAACTCTAGAATTTTATCGTGAAATCTTTGTCTAAAATTTTACAGTTAATACACCCAAATTACTCTGAAGGATTAAAAAATTATGGTCTTTTTGTCATGGAGGTTGAGTTGCTGTGTGTTGTATTTCTCGAATTGTACTTTGGAGATCAAAGCTGCTGCCATATTTATTTATGCAAAAAGCGTACGTTAAAGTATATACAAAACTCATGATTAGTAATTTATTCTCCTGCAAAACATTAAACAAACAAATTAATCATGAGTGTTTTTAAGATGGAGATGATTTTATTAAACCAAAAACATAAGTACAATTAGAGTCATGAAAAATGACGTTCTAAATAGGACAAGGATTGTCTACCCTCCTTATTTCCGTATCCTTCCATACCCTTCTGTTTGTATAATTACGGTTAAGTCACATTAACATTTCATATTACTATTCATTTTTGTCTTATTGTTTCTATAAAAAAAATAATATAAAATGTTAACGTGACTTAACCGTGATCATACAAAACAGGAGGACACGGGAACAAGGAGGGCAGACAATCCTTGTCCTTCTAAATAAGGTCAGACGAAGCTTCATTGTACCTTACCGTGAATAGTCAGAAGTGAAGATGTTGCCAATAATTGTTTTGAATAATGTATAATTATGTAATTACAAGTCTTATGGTAAAACCTTGACTTCTTCTGCGTATGTGTTAAAAGTAAAACTATAACTACATAGTATGTAGCCTTGTTCCCGAGAACACATGAATGAATCGTCAAGGATCTCAGCCACCCACACAAAGATATATCTCCTCCTTCCACACAGTCCTTCTAACATGTACGAGTTCCACCGAATCTTTTGGGTGTTTTTAATGGTGGGTTGTTGGGGGGATAAGGATGCGTATGGAGACAGTGGGCGGAGATGGGGTGATCAGATACTTTTAATTTCCAAATTCAAAAGAATTATCGAGTAAATTATCGATAATCTGTGTCTATTTTGCCTAATTTGATGTTATTGGACTCAGATGTGTGATTCTTTGATTGCTGCGTGTGAGCATAAACTTCCAAATGAGACGAAAAATAGTCAACTGAATCAAGTAGCCAAATTGAAATACAGGTACCACATTGGCATGAATTTTGATCGCAAACAAATAAAATCCGTTTTTGAATTAGAGAATTGTTATTAGCACTTCAAATATCTCATTTGGTATTCCAAACTTTCTATAATTAAAAGAAAAAAAAATACACTTTATGAGGAGTGTAGAATGGGATTTTGAAGTGCTAATAAAAAAAACCTTAGCTATTAAGGAGAAGAAACCTACCACCGTGACCCTGATATCTGGCCTTGGGGTCGGCAACATTCCTTTTTTATCCTTTATTTTTCTTTTCTAATTTTTAGTAGGGATGCTGTCTCGCTTTGTCCAGAAGAGTCTTTGTGGTTGTGGTTATTATGGACATGTGGTCACTCTCCATTTGAGGAAAGCTTTTGCAACGGTTATGACTTACTGCTCAACCTGAATTTTAAAGCGACGATTGTTGTTTAAATTTGAGGTGGTAATTTTGTGGTTAGTGAGCTTGTCAAGGATTACGCTAAGGAAACTCGACGTTTGTTGTAGGTGACTCATAGTAGGTTTTTTGCCAACGATTGCAACATCATTAATGAGTGGTGTGGTCTTTCCCTTGTGGAGCATTGCAATTGTTTGAGGGATTCACAGTCATGTTTGCTTGTCGTTGTATGGTCTTCAATGACGGTATGCTAATTACCTTGTGTGTCTTGACGATGTCGGGTCTGGCTCATAGAGTTTAGGCCTTGTGAGCTTATCTTTCCTGTTGGTTCGGAACTTAGGTGTGGGTCTCCCATCGTTGAGGGATCATAGTTTATTTTGTGTTGTCATATTTTTGTTTTGTTTTGGTTGTGGTTTTATTTTTGTTCGCCGGGCAAAGGACCATGAGGATATCTTCATGATGTCTCATAAGGCTTCTTTGCCAAAAGAGCATTATGTTTTGCAAGTTCATAAGAAAGTGATGTAAGATCTTGTCGAGAGCATGTTTACGTTTGGTTCGAAGTGGTTAGGTTTTGAATTGTCTTTTTGTTGCATTTGCAATCGTGAAATCCTTTTCGTCATCGATGATGTCTCTCATTCTATTTGATTAATGGTGAAATATTTATTACCCTTAAAAAAATTCATACAACAGATCATTAAAATTACATACTCAGATAGATCGCATGTTCTTTCAAGTAGCAATCGTAATTTCAAAATCGGAATAAAGATGCTTGGTTGTGAAACTTGAGGGATCTTAGCAATCCCCAGTTGTACATCTCCTTGTGCCTATCTCTCTAATTATGTTTATACAACCGGTAGCAAGACAAATTCTCGTATTACTTCGCATTCGTATCACCGTAAATGGTGTAAATGACTAGAAACACAAATATGCAGGTGATGACGACTGTTACATAGACTGTTGCTTGAGCTGATCTTCAACAAGCTCAATGCATCGGTACAAAACTAACTCGATTGGGTTTAAAGTACAAAGTGCATCAACTGGAAGCTCGTAATCATTCCTGGTCTCCGCCATCATGGCGGTTACCTGGGTTCGTAGGGGTAAAAGCCACCCCTTATAGGCTTTCTGTAAATTGCTTCTGGAGATCACTCCTGTGTGGTTGGTTTTTCCTGTGCAAATTTTTCATCAGAGTACAAATCAGACTCATAATCTAATAATTTCTCCTCTGATAGTAAAATTATGTTTGCTTTAATTAATTCAATGATGATATACGTTTACCTGTCGATTCTGTAATTAATACAAATCTGTACAGATTGAGCGCAGACAGAACCTGTAGAACAATATTACAGATCTTGTAAGATAAAGGGTTTTACTTTTCATCTGAACAGTGAGATAAATATTTACCCAAAAAATAAAAACAGTGAGATAAATTCAAGGACAGAGAAAATGAATCTTATAAAAAGAATATGATAATTAGACTACTTAGTCCTGAATTTCTGACATATCAAATTTAACCTCAAATATATTTGACAGAGACAAAACGTCGACATTCAAGGCAGATAAGTATACATATGTTCAGTTCATCTGACCGGGGATTAATTAAAAACAGCTATGCAATGAAATACCATTGTTGGTAATGACGAACAATATTATGAAGGGAGGAAAAGAAAGGTAACTTCAGGGTATCAAGAACTGCAGAGATTGAAGATTGTAGTTGCAGCAGTTAAACAAGATTACCGGTTGCCTAATTTACACCAATTTATGGTCGCGCAAGATAAATCCAAGTTGGAAGTCCTTTAAGATTACTTTTCGTAATTGTAGGAAAGCTAAGTATTGTAATATCTTATATTTAGATGTTGTTGAGATCTTAGATTTGAAGCTTGACGACATACAAAGACTCCTCAACACATATTGGTAAATCATACATAAATACTTCATTACCACAAGCAGCTTATGAAAAGATATTCACAAAGCAAGTTGAAGAAATACCTCATCAGTATCCTCAGGGAAAGAGGGAGGTCCGCCCTCCGGGGGCTTCAGAATCAACTCCACCAATTCAAGGACATTGGCAGTCCAAAACAATGTAGGTGGTTTGGCTTGCGGTACTTCGTCATTTCCCACGCTTTGGCAGCTTTCCTTGTGCAGTTCTCCTTTAACAATATCCAGAAGGATTGCAATCTATGGTTGAAACAGCCACATTAGGTAAAACTGCTTCAAGTATAATTCAACAAAAATGAAGGAATACATATCACAAAAACTGGCTCTAAAGGTTTTACCATCGAGGAAGAATTACTATTTATGATCAAAGACTTCAACATGTCGAACCTCTGAGAAGCTGGAATATCAGCAATAATCTGATTTTGATTGGTAGACAAAATGAGCAGTAATATTCAGAGGGTACCGTAAATAATTTACTTTGAACCTAAATTAAGTAGAGTACATGATAAGCAAGGGCTTACTACAAAATGACCATAAACTGAGCCATTAGTTGCTTATGAAAAATGCATCAGACCATCACGTATTTATATTACTGGACAAATGCAAGTACTAAGACAAATCCTCACCCTTTTGAAAGCTTCAAAGGCATTCTTCCTCAGCACTGTATCTGATGCGTACATGATGATCATTTGAACAGCCTAAAATGTCCTATGCCCATATGAGGGAAAAAAAGAAGATTAGATTCTCTTCCTCTTTGATAAATAAGTTCCTAAAACGTAGAATGATGTAAAGAGGCAACCTGCAGAGCTGCAAAAAGGGAAGTCGTGTAAGATGAGAAGTCATTATGTTCATCGCAGTGGGAGATATTTCCATCTGTAATGCAAATCAAGAAATTGATGGCATGTCTTTTAAGTTCCCATGGCAGAGTGGCAGGAGCTAGTATGTGCTTTAGCATGCCAACAGCTAGCCACCTTTTAGTCTGGTTATCCTTAAGTTCATCCTTGACGGAATTCAAATCCTCCTCAGCAGCCCCAGCAACGTCATCAGAAGCATGGCCCCAGATCACTTTAATAAAGCAACAGAAAAAAACAAAAATCAATTGACAAAGTGTCGAGCTACAAAAAAAAATTGATAAATATGGAGTGATCAGCATTTAGAAACATAAACCTGAAAGAGGTGCACCGCATTTGACATCGGATAAACAACTCATATAATAATCTTCATCTTCTGAGTGTACAAAGGAACAAGAAAAGAAACGAAATATCAAGGGCCTAACAATTGGGTAACAAATAGAGTGAACTATAATAGAATACAAGGGAAGGAACATTGATTGAAAGGATTTACCTCCAACTACTGCCCTAGTTATTTTGTCAACATCCGACCCAGTTATCACACCAAGATATGACAAACCACAAAATGGGAAAAAACTAGACAGTTGCAAAACAAACGGCTGAGAACTTGGAACATTATGATTCATGCTGACAACAGCCTGCACATAAACAGCGTGTTTAAGAAAACAAACGCAAAACAGAAAGATAGCAAATCAAATAGGGGAGGCTTGATATGTAATAGAGTTCAGATTGGAATTTCTGTTGATATAACAAAGATAAAAAGAAGTCAAACTGAAACTTTGATTAAAGGATGCCAACCATAATCTGTAAGACATAAAGACCAAGTAGAGCACGAAGCTTTTCATTTGCTACACCTTCCTGTGTCATGGAACATCAACAGGATCAAATAGAGAATATATAAGAATCAAAGAATATCGCTAAACTAGTAACATCCATCTTATCAGTTTGTCATGTACCAACTTTAGGCAAACCGCACGTATGGAATTTGCAATCCCCATAGCTCTGTCAAACAAATTCTTAAATTCTGGATCTTCATCTTCCAACTCCAAAGACCGGCCCTTCAAAACTTTAACGATAATGGGAACTGCCACTTTCACTTGCTCAAAGTGACGCCTCTGAAGGGAAAGAAACACTGAAATTAACAAAAGAAACAGCAACACAAAATTAACAAAATAGTGCTGGCAACAACTCAATTGGCACAATTCAATTAAATCTACGAAACACAAAATGCATCTGATAACAATACAACTGTTAGTTTAGTTAACCATTTAATTAGTTAAGCTCATTTAAATTACCTTTCGAAAGCCCAGTTAGAAGAGGCGCAATATAACCAGAATCCCTGATTGCTTCACTTGGGGGAGCCAACGCCTGACCCAATCACAACAAAAAATCATCAAAGAACTAAAAACCCAACAAAATCATCAATACAACAAGTATCAAGTTCACATAAAAGTCACTAAAAAGGCCACATATTTACCTCACAAAGAATCGAAAGCATGTCTCGTGGACTACACATTGATATAAAGCAATCAATGGTGCACTCAACGACCTCCAGGCATCCATCCGAGACGCCTCCGAACTTCGAAACCGCCATTGGCAACTCAAAGGAGAGTGCTTCGATGATCGCCTGGGCAAACAATCAAACAGTTGGTAAACATCAAACTGCACAAACAAGCAAAGGACCAAAAGCAGACGACTTTAACGAAACGAAACCTGGTCGAGTGACGGGGAAGAGACGAATTGGTGGATTTTCGTGAGAGCTCGGAAGGCGTTGGCTTTTGCGTCTTCGTTTTCTGGGTCTGACAGAGCAGCGTCTAGGGTTGAATTGAGGAAGCTGATGAGCTCTGAGACGGAGGTTTGGGGTTGATCGACTGATTGGGATAGCGAGTTTAGGATTTCTTGAAGAAGGGGGAAGGACTGATCAAGATTGTCCGCCATGGGATCTCTGCAACTTCTCAACAAGAAGAAGAAGAAGAGTTGGTGCGTGTTGTAATTTCAATTCCGTTTGGCTATTAGGGTTTTTGTTTCCAAACGTCCCAACAAGGCGCGAATGCCAATCCACTACTACCACCCCTATTCAACGGCACTTGATAAACGGGTATTAAATTCTAGTTTACACAATGATATTTATTTTTATTTGTAAGCAAAATGATTTAAATTCGAATCATTGAATTTGAAAAATTTTAATGAAATTTGTAATCATAACAATCGGTAAATTTTGTTTGTCTTTACATTTGGGATGACACTATTAATGTATTACTACTTTATTTGGTTGCGATGCTTTTCAGGACATTTGTTGAAATTTGGTGTGAATTACACTTCTTAACTTCCCTCGTTGTTTTTCGGCACTTGTTTCCTCCTAATCAAACTAGTTGCAAGGTCACATCGGTTGCTTTGGAGAAAATTGCACTGAAGGAGATGGTGAAGGTTCATATTAAGATTTTTTTTTCTTTGTTAAACAATAAATTTATTAGATTAAATGTTAAATTAGAAAATCGACCGAGTTCATATTAGGTTATTAACTATGTCGATGGAGTCCAAAATTGCAATAAACATGATTGATTAGTTTGTTACTTAAACTGTCCTGCACTTATCCAAGGATACATCTATCCCCGATCCAGAGTCCGGATAACCCTACAACCAAACATCTTTTCCTCCACCCTCCGTCTTTTAACTAACCAAAAATCTCTAAACCCGATCTGTGTCTTCCTCACAGCGACGTCTCCACTCCCATGCTCCCGATTCTCTACTCTCACTCCCACACCTAGTCCCCCTGCACCCTCCGATCTACCGCCAAAATGGAGCCGGACGTCAGCATCGAAACCAGCTCCATGATCCGTGTGACTGTCCTCCCCATTGGCCACGTGCCCCCCGTCCTCCTCCGCGATTACCACTCGATGCTGCTCCGCCACCAGACGATCCCTCTCTCCGCCATCAGCTCCTTCTACACTGAGCACCAGAAGTCCCCCTTCGCCCACCAGCCCTGGGATTCCGGCAACCTCCGATTCAAGTTCGTCCTTGGCGGGGCCCCACCGTCCCCGTGGGAGGACTTCCAGTCCAATCGCAAAACCCTAGCTGTCATCGGCATCTGCCACTGCCCCTCGTCTCCCGATCTCGACTCCGTCATCGATCAATTCGACTCGGCTCGCCGCGCCTACTCCTCCGCCCTCGTCGATCGCTGCTTCGCCTTCTGCCCCGGCGATTCTCAGGTCCAGAGAATGCTAATCTCGATTGTTTTCAATTTGTTACTTTTTTCCTCTTCGAAATTTCGAATCTTTTTGGATTTATTGTGTGTTGATTGGATTACAGTTGGAGGATGGGAGCAAGAAAGGAGGGAACTTGATGCTGTTTCCGCCGGCGGATCGGGCGACTCTGGAGTTCCACCTGCAGACAATGATGCAGGACATTGCGGCGTCACTGCTGATGGAGTTCGAGAAATGGGTGCTGAAAGCTGAGCCTGCAGGAACCATTGTCAAGACGCCTTTGGATTCTCAAGCCACTCTCAACTCAGAGGAGGTTCATGTCTAGGTGTCCTATAGGATTTATTCTGTTATTATAATAATTAGTTGTCTAGTATGTATTTATCGAAATGTTAGTGTTTTAATCGGAGTGTTGGTATCTGAATTTATGCGTTAAATGTTTCCGAAAGATGAAGTGAACAAAAAAAATTTAAAATGGCAGGTTATAAAGGCGAAGAAGCGGAGGCTCGGGCGAGCGCAGAAGACAATGGGTGATTATTGCTTGTTGGCAGGATCACCTGTTGATGCCAATGCTCATTACTCTACCGCACTAGAACTTGCTAGGTTGACCGGAGATTTTTTCTGGTATGCTGGTGCATTGGAGGGCAGTGTCTGTGCCTTACTGGTAATGGCTCACTCTCTGGATTTTTGCATGGCTACCTGTGTTTGATAACGCAATAGGCTTTCATGGCTTCCTGGTTTATTTGTTGCTTAGATTTCCTACTTACTGACTTATATAAACATGTTAGATTGATCGAATGGGCGAAAGGGATTCAGGTGTCGATGATGAAGTTAGATATCGATACAGTAGTGTCATCTTGCACTACAGGAAGTCATTTATACAAGAAAATGCTCAAAGGTAATTCCTAGATGCTATTGCATTTAGATGGCTGTTGCTTTATTAATGTATGCATTCTTTTAACTGTTACATTTATTAATTATTTATGTGCAGAGTTTCACCCTTAACATTTGAACTAGAGGCTACATTGAAACTGGCAAGGTTTCTTTGCAGGTATGTTTTGTTTATCAAAATTTTATAATTTGATGCACTCAGCTTGTATTAGATGCATCTTCTGTTTTTACTGGATAACGTTCTGACTGGATCTTATTCGTGTACTGTTTCTATCTATGAGTCTGACTTTTAATCTTCCGTTCTCGGTAAATGATGATAAATAAATTGAATTCTATCTCTAAAAGTTGAAGTAGGTGCTCCATAAGAGTTCCAGTTATGATCATTTATGTCCATGAGATGACAAAAAGACTTCGGAAATAGTTAGATTTTACACTTTCCTACGAATTTGTTTTTGGTTTTACTGTGGCAGACGGGAGCTGGCTAAGGAGGTAGTGGAACTACTTACAAGTGCAGCAGATGGTGCTAAATCTCTGATTGATGCCAGTGATAGACTTGTATTATATGTTGAAATAGCTCGTTTATATGGTACTCTTGGTTATCAGCGAAAGGCTGCTTTTTTCTCAAGGCAAGTGGCTCAGTTATATCTACAGCAGGATAATAGACTGGCTGCCATTAGTGCAATGCAAGTTTTAGCAATGACAACAAGAGCCTACCGTGTTCAAAGTAGAGCTTCCATCTCTGAAGATTTGCTTCCTAAAGTGAGTGTTAAGCAAATGATTCCTGGTCATATTTAGCATTTCAGTCTGTCTGCATGCTTCTGCACATGCTTTAATGTGTCTTTTGAGATGGAATTTATGCTTACTTTGTGAATTTGAGGTCTTGATCATTGATGGCACATATCAGTCTCTTCTCTGTTGTATTTTGGAATAGTGGAAATGAAGAATATGGTTGAGAGTTTTATTCCCTAGTAACTGTCTTGCGTTATTACTCTTTAGTAACGTTCTTATATAGCGTGTGGTTTTGATTGTGAGCATATTCGTAGTAAGTTTTTAGCTACTCATTCTTATTTTGTTTTCACAGAAGGAAATCGGGTCAAATCTTGCAGAGGGTGGGAAAATGCTCCACCAGTCAGTAGTCTCTCTTTTTGAGTCTCAGTGGAGCACACTACAGATGGTTGTACTCAGAGAGATTCTGCTATCCGCTGTCCGTGCAGGAGATCCTCTAGCTGCCTGGGGTGCAGCTGCAAGATTACTAAGATCATATTATCCTTTAATTACACCTGCTGGGCAAAATGGTCTTGCTAGTGCACTTTCAAATTCAGCAGATAGGTTGCCCTCGGGAACTCGCTGTGCTGACCCTGCTTTACCCTTCATCAGGTTTTCACGAGTACCTAAGCATTTTTCCTGTTAATGCATGAACATTTTATTACTTATGAAGACTAATAACAACAATAGTATTTGCTGTCCTATAGGTAATTTTTCTCCATAGTCTTTGCTGCAAGACAAGTATATAGTTGCACCGAGACACCATGATAACTAGGGTTGAACTAATTACCATTTATTTTAACATAAGTTTTTGATGTATGATTAAATGCTATCTAAATACATTTAATCTGTCAGTGAGGAGGATTATTCTGCTATGTGAATTACTGAATACTGACAGATATTTTTTCTCTAACATTAAAATGCAGCAATGAGAAGTAGATACCTCCTAGCTCTGACCAGCTTGTTAATGTTCTTATGGATGCTAGAGTCCTTTCTCTTGTTTTGTTTTCAACAACTCGAGGCTTCTTTTATTAGCATCATTTTTTTTAAACAATATTTTGTTTACCTATATAGTTTTTGTAGAACTGTGATTCGCTCAGAACCTTTTGTGTAGCTATGTAGTCTTCTATTCATATTGCGGATGAGTAAAACTCTATTCCTTTGTTCCTCTAAGAATCTCCCCATATCCAAGTTGATCTTGACTGAATATGGACAAATAATCATTAGTGCTTTTATTGTAAGTGTCACTTAATATTAGTATGAGTTCCCTAATTTAATCATCTTCTTTGCTTCTAGATTGTATTCTTTTCCTCTCCATCCTTCACAAATGGACATTGTAAAGCGCAATCCAGCAAGAGAAGACTGGTGGGCAGGAGCTGCTAATACTGGTCCGTTTATTTATACACCATTCAGCAAGGGAGACACAAATAGTAACGCCAAACAGGACCTCATTTGGATTGTTGGAGAACCTGTTCAGATTTTAGTCGAACTGGCAAACCCATGTGGCTTTGATTTGAGGGTTGATAGCATTTATCTCTCAGTGCCTTCAGGAAATTTTGATGCTTTTCCTGTTACTGTAAATCTTCCACCCAATTCATCAAAAGTGATCACCTTATCTGGGATCCCGATTGCAGTTGGGCCAGTGACAATTCCTGGGTGCACTGTCCACTGCTTTGGTGTTATTACTGAACACCTGTTTAAGGATGTTGATAATCTGCTTCTTGGAGCTACACAAGGACTTGTGCTTTCTGACCCTTTCAGATGCTGTGGGTCTGCGAGGTTGAAAAATATATCTGTTCCGAACATTTCTGTGGTACCACCATTACCATTGCTGGTTTCACGTGTAGTTGGTGGTGATGGTGCAATCATTCTTCATGAAGGTGAAATTCGTGATGTGTGGATCAGTCTGGCTAATGCAGGTACAGTTCCAGTTGAGCAAGCACATGTATCATTATCAGGAAAAAACCAAGATTCTGTTATCTCGATTGCCTCTGAAACCTTAAAATCAGCCCTTCCTTTGAGGCCTGGGGCCGAAGTGACTATACCTGTGACCTTAAAAGCTTGGCGCCATGTCATAGCAGATCCTGAGACTGCTGCAGGCAGGAGTGCCTCTGGAAGCACTGCGAGGCAGTCTAAGGATGGAAGTAACCCCATATTGTTAATCCATTATGCAGGTATTAATAAATCCATAACCAATATAGTACTCTCTCTCTCTCTCTCTCTCTCTCTCTCTCTCACACACACACACACACACACACGCATTATTGTATAGAGCTAAAATGAGGTGAATTATGTGCATTATTTTATATTTACTCTTATCTTCTGATGTTCAAGTATATATAGTAAGCCCTCTTTATTTTCAATTGTTATGTATATATAATAAGAACCTGAATGCTAAACCATTTTCTGAACTGTCCATTCTAACTGGCTGCAGTTGTCATTTATCATTTGTACCTCCCCTGTGCCACCTCGTTCCTGAGTAGTGACTACAAGTACCATTAACTTCTGTGACTTGATTTCTTTAATGCATTTCATTTTGTTTCTCAGGGCCTCTGACACATGCTGGAGATCCTCCAACAGATAAATCTGCTATCCCCCCTGGCAGGCGCCTTCTTGTTCCTTTGCAGATTTGTGTTCTTCAGGGTTTGTCTTTTGTAAAGGCTCGTCTGCTTTCGATGGAGATTCCTGCACAAGTGGGTGTCAACCTTCCAAAACCAGTTGATATTGAGAATAGCCCTACTGAAGCTCTTGGTTCTCCTACTAAGATGGACAGATTGGTGAAGATTGATCCTTTCAGAGGAAGCTGGGGACTACGCTTTCTTGAACTCGAGTTGTCTAATCCCACAGATGTTGTGTTTGAAATTACTGTTTCTGTCCAGCTGGAGAACGCTAGTCATGAGCATATACTTTCTGGTGATCAAGATGCCACTGAATATGGTTACCCTAAAACAAGAATTGATCGGGATTGTTCTGCGAGGGTACTGATACCACTGGAGCATTTTAAACTACCAGTTCTTGATGATTCGTTTTTTGTGAAGGATAATCTGGCAGATGGGGCTGTTAGTGGCAGAAACTCAAGCTTCTCGGAACGGAATACTAAAGCTGAACTTAATGCTTCTATCAAGAGCCTCATATCTAAGATAAAGGTTAGGTGGCAATCAGGGCGAAGCAGCTCTGGAGAATTGAATATCAAGGATGCTATACAGGCAGCCCTTCAGACATCTGTTATGGATGTACTGCTGCCAGATCCATTGACATTTTGCTTCAGGCTTTCTAGAAACGGCCTTGCACCTGAAAATTCTGGTTCACACGCACAGGCCAATTTTCAAGTTCACCCTTCTGCAGCTAAGGGTTCTGTGCTGGCGCATGAAATGACTCCAATGGAAGTTATGGTTCGTAATAACACGAAGGAGATGATCAAAATGAGTCTTAGCATTACATGCAGAGACGTTGCTGGAGAGAATTGTATAGAGTGTACAAAGGCAACTGTCTTGTATTCTGGTAATGTTCTATGATTATCCCTTTTTCACAAGCCTGTTTTAGTATTTAGAGATATTCACTCTTCTATTATGTGTAGGTGCGTGTGAGCAGGTAAATTTTTCGGAAATAAGCATTTTAGTACCTGGTTAATTGGTTATCAAATGTTGAATCCTGCCTATTTTTTTGTTTATTTCTGAACTGTTTGTTTAGAAGTCATTTTCATTAGAACTTCCCCTGAAATTTGCAATAGAATCTCACTCGTGTTGTGCGATAATTGAATTCATACGTAGGTGTTTTGAGCGGGATCACTGTGGAGGTTCCACCACTTGAAGAAATTAAGCATTCTTTCTCCTTGTATTTTCTTGTCCCGGGTGAGTACACACTGGTAGCTGCCTCAGTGATTGATGATGCTAATGATATCCTCAGGGCTCGTGCAAGAACAAAATCATCCGATGAGCCAATATTCTGCCGCGGGCCCCCATATCATGTTCGTGTTGTTGGGACTGCATGATGGTTCTTTCCACCCACCACATCGGCCGGATTAGCTCAAACCAGGTTAATGCTTTCAGCATCAGTAAACAATGCCATATGTTTTTTAATTTGGCAGCGGGAGGAACGCATCCATGTGTCCTGAGAATCAAATTCTTAAAAGTAGGGTGTTCTCTGTTGTGTATTTTAGATTCGTAGTTGCAGTTTTGTACACAAATGTTGTGAAATAAGTTGTTAACCTCTATCAATTTGGCTACGTTTTATTTACGCGAAAGAAACATGTTTGCTGCAGATTATTCGAGTCTTCATTGTGTTGGATGATTGTTGCATACATATTTGATCATGGATGTGTGTTTTTTCTTGCCTAGCCGGAACATTTGTGGGCTTTTTGTTGTTTTAAACCGACGGGGGATGGAAATTGGAATTCGCGAATTCTTTCAGCAGTGAGAAAAGACGTAGGATCAGAGCGAGTGTTTGTAAAATTTGCATCTTATTCTGAAGCATTGTATTGATTGAACTGGGAAATTAATATGAAACCCTTGAGCCGTCGTACGAGAAAACGTGCCGAATTAATGGGTTAGAGTGGAACAAAATATCGACTGCATATCGACCGTATAATAATTAATAACAAACTAGTGTAAGTTCGAATTATCAACGATATCAACCATTCGCATCGCAACAGAGAAAATTTTATGTTTATAAACTCATTTTCTTGGTTGGCGCAGTGGAGGTTACACTTGCGAATTATGTTCAGGGACAGGGAGGAGGAAGGAGATACCGAATCAGGGGTATAAACGTCATTTTAGTTCAAGAGTCGGGAAAATGCCGTTACTTAAAAACGTTAGCCCGGCTCTTCGTTTCCCTCCTTCTTTCCCCGCCGCCTTACGGTGACGGGTCGAGCGGGGTAAGAGCTAAACATTCCCGGCGATCCGTTGATTCCCCAATGAAATCTCAGGTCCCCAAATCCCTCCTAACTCTCATCGAGACCTGCACAAGCCTTCAACAACTGAAGCAGATCCACGCCAAATCCATAATCTCGGGCCTTTCCTACAACCAATTCATCCTCACCCAGATCACCAATTCCTTCCTACTCCCTCAGTCTCTGAACTACGCCACCCGCTTATTGATTCGAACTCAAGAACCAAGCGTTTTCGTCTACAATTCCATCATCAGAGCACATTCCCAATCAGAAACCCCATTTGTTGCTCTGTCGATTTATAACATGATGAGGGTGCAAGAAAATGCTTTGGGCGACAGGTTTACTTACCCTTTTGTGTTGAAGGCTTGCGCTAGCGAATCGGATATGGACAAAGGGAGGGAGGTTCATGGTGTGGTTGTGAGAATCGGGTTTGACTTCGACAGGTATTTGTGTACTTCTTTGCTGAACTTTTATGGGGTTTGTGGAAAAATTGAGGGTGCAAGGCAGGTGTTTGATGAATATACGGCGAAGGATGTTGTTTTCTGGAATTCCATGATAATGGGTTATGCTCGAAACGGGATGGTTTTTGAAGCTTGTGAGGTTTTTAGGGAGATGGTGGAAGTGCGAGAGGTTAGACCCAATGAAAGTGCGGTTTTGGCATTGATTTCGGCTTGCACGGTTTCGAAAAACTTGAAATTTGGAAGAGAGATTCATGGGTTTTTGAGAAAAGAGGTGACTTTTGGGTCAAATGTGAAAGTTGGAGCTGCACTTGTTGATTTGTATGCAAAATGTGGGTGTTGGATTATGCAAAGAGAGTGTTTGAGGGAATGCCTGAGAAGAATGCTGTGGTATGGAACTCTTTGATAAGTGGCTATTCCCTCAACGGCTCGTCGAAAGAGGCAATTGATGTTTTCAGGGAAATGTGTTGTTTGGATGTTAAGGCCGATACGTTCACGATTTCAGGCTTGTTGTCCGCTTGTGCTCAAATGGGTGCTGTTAATATAGGAAACTGGGTTCGGAAATTCGCAGAGAAGAATGGACTTTGGGATGTGTTTATAGGTACATCTTTGGTAGACCTGTATGCAAAATGTGGTTCCATTGAAGCAGCTAGAGACGTGTTTGATCAAATGGATAAGAAAACTGTTGCAACATGGAATGCTATTCTCTCTGGATATGCGTCAAATGGGCAGGCTGGATCTGCAATAGAGCTCCTTGATGATATGAGAAAATCAGGTGTCATGCCAGATAGTGCAACGTTCCTTTCGATTTTACATGCTTGTGCACATGCTGGTTTGGTTGAAAAAGGTAGACAATACTTTGATTTGATGGTGAAAACTTATAAGATTGCCCCAAAAGTTGAGCATTACGGTTGCATGGTTGACCTTCTTGGGCGCGCTGGACTTTTGAAAGAAGCAAGGAAGCTTATTGAGAGGATGGATATTGAACCAAATGTAGTTGTATGGGGATCACTGTTTAATGCTTGTAGCATTCATGGTGATATTGAGGTAGGAGAGTGGGCGGCTGATCATGTTTTCAACTTAGAAGCAATGGATGGGGGCTCCTACGTGCTGTTAGCAAATATGTACGCTGCAGCACGAAGGTTTGACAGGGTTAAAGCAGTTCGGGAGGCAATGGTTAACGCAAGTATTTGCAAGCTACCTGGATGTAGCATGATCGAGATTGGAGATGTAATTCATGAGTTTCTCGTTGCCGACAAGACGCACCCTGAATCAGAAGAGATATACACTGTGTTGGACGAATTAAGCAACAAGCTCAAGATGACAGGCTCGATGCAGTTGCCTGCTTTAGATGAAGAGTGTCTGGAAAGCAGCTGAGGGACCATCAAATTCCTAGCGATATTTCCTGAAAATGGGAAGACCGGAAGAGGAGGGAAAGTGATTGGAGCAGTTACCCTTCCAGGGACATTTGGATTTGAATGGAAAATTGCAGTTTCGGGGCATTTGGATTTGGATTTGTACAGAAAAATGCAGATTAGGGAGATGGACGCGTGATCTCGGAGTTGATTTGGAGATTCAGTTCAAGGTTCAATTCTTTCCTTAATTCATGGACATGTTTTGTGAATATCTGTCACTGCATTTCTTATGCATTAACCATGAAACTCTTGCAGATGGCCTTCAAATCTTCATGGAACAATTTCAATATCGTCTACATTGTTCAAGTTTACGGTATGAGTTAAATTTCAAGCAGTCTCATTGTCCGGCTAAAGCACAACAGGTTCCACGCAACTCTTCATCGCAGCAGTTGGATCACCTTGGTTTAACCCTCCAACAAAGGAAGAAAAAATATTGAAACAAGGGCATGGCACGCGATGAATTTATCGGCTATTTCTAATCGTTCTGAAAAGAATTTGAGGCCAATATACTTGTGATAAATATTTTACTTAAATCCTAAGGTATGTTATAAGTGAGTACATAAGTCATGTTTCTCCAAATCACTCGAAGTTAACAACTGCCTTGGATGATCCCAGGACCATGCGTTTTATGTCGACCTCCATTATCACAGGCTTCGATTTTGAATCCGGCACCTCCTTCAGCACAAACTTGCAGCAATCTCCAATCTTGAGCCTGTTGTCCTCGTAAAACTTGTACCATCCTCTCGTTCTTATTGCGGTGCGAAGACTAATGGCTGCACCTCTCCTTCCGCCTTGCCAAGTTCCAAGTTCCACCGGCCATTTTCCTCCAACAAACCGAACTTTGAGGATCATTTTCTTTCTGTCACCAAGGCCATGGGCTTTCACAAATTCCGACGGAATAGTCTGCCATGAACACTCACTAGAGAATTAGAAAGGATCCAAAATCAACAAAACAAGGAAAAAAGCTTCAGAACTTTCACCGAGGTATCGCGACACATTTGTACGGGGAAGGGAAGGTATAAAACTTACCACGTAACACTTGCTGGGTAGAGAATGAGTTTCCGAAATGCTTTTGAGGAAGAACAGAGGACTCGAGGTTGATGTTGCAGCGGCGGCAGCAGCAGCAGGAGGAGGAGGAGGAGGAAACGCTTTCTCGCAACCGAGTGGCTCATACACGTTGACATGGAAAACCATGCGGCCTAGGTGTTTGAACACAAGAAAGTCTCCGACTTTCAGGTTGTGATACTTCACAAACTCTTCCCAACCGCCTTCAAAATAGAGGGTTCCATCCCCAGTCCTAGCAACTCCAACTTGCCATGATCCCTGGCAGCTTTCAATAACCGCTTTCTTCATGTTCCTTTCATTAAGATTTTGAGAAAAGCCCGCCGGAAGTGACTGTTGATAAGCAGAATAAAAACATTAGGTCTCATTTCCTAACCAATCAAACAGGGAAGATGTGATGAAAACTCGACATTTAT